TTATATAATATCACAAACTAAAGTTAGGAGAATATAATTTGCATTGCTGTAATCCTTGCAAGACAGCAAATAATTTGAATATAAATGTCATACATTTTACAGAAGAGATAAAAAATTTTGCTCTTTAAATTTTTTTTTAAATTAGAACTAAAATTTGTATGTCTACTGCAAGCTATAGCATGTTTATATTCAAACTAATCACTATCTTACATGAATTCCATGACCAATAACCATTCATTAATAGATACCAATAACCATTCATTCATAAATAGAGATACCACCACTACTACAATGTTGCTATTTAAAGACATGTTTCTGCAACTGTACAAGGTTCCATGACTATTTTTTAAGTCAAATGGTAAAGATTTATAAGACACAATCACTGAACACTCTATTGATTTGTATGAAGGAAGATACAGCAAAAAGGTAAGAAAAAACTTTTACTTCCAGCATTTTCATCGGAAATCTATATTTTTTGCATAATTTTATTTAATTTTTTTACCTTTCGATTTCATTTGAAAAATTAAATTTTTATCACACAAAGTGAAGGACGCAGAAATTGAAGGATAAAATCACACAAAAACATTACAAAGCCAAACCTGTTAGGAGTGAGGCGCGGGTCAGGTCGTGTTGCGTCTCTGTAACAAAGCGTGTTCGGCTCGGGCCTTCGTTGTTGAGCAGCAGAAATTGGACAGTGATTACAAGAGAACATGAAGATCGTTTTAGTGATGTGAAAGTGTAAATCGATGTAGGATTTTTAATGCTAAACGTGATTGTAATTTTGAAAACTTGATCTCCACCGAGTTGGAGGTACAGCCCAGGTCAGGAGGCCTACAACCACAAAATCATTGCCATATGACAATACCTTTATTTTATTTTTTATAACGGAGTTGTGGTCACGGCTGTGATAAAGGCCAACCAGGGAGTGTAGTACTGTGCCTTTAGTTAAATAAGTTCATAGTGTCATCAGTTACCGCAGAAGAGGTTGTAAATAACTTAAAAGTGAATATAAAGTGCCAGCAGAAACCAAGTCGTGTTATAGGTGCCACAGAGACTTAAAATTTTATTTTGTTTGTGTGCTTTCTCATGGACTGAAACTGTGCCCACAATACACCATTCACAGGGAGATACAGTGTACACAGTAATAGCACAAAGAGATATAGTCGTTGATGTGAACAGGAAAAGAAAGTATAAGGAAATAATAGTTAAAATAAATAAAATCAACAAGCTTGGCTATCCTTAAAGACATTCTATTACCGCCCCAAAGAAAGTTTTAATTTATTTCTGTGTGTTTCAAAAGGACTGAGTGGGTGTACAAAATCCATTATTCACAGCAAAATGTAGTGTACATAGAGATAGCACATAAATACTGACAAACACTAAAGTGAACTGAAAAAAAAGAAAAGAAAAACAGAAGACAACTCTAAAGGCAACAGAGGAGGTTAAAACCAGCAGAGGGCATTTAAGTACAGTGGCCCCTCGTTTAACGAACACCTCGGTTAACGTAATTTCGATTAACGAACTGCCTTCCATAAGGATCTTCAATTCGGTTAACGAAAAAAAATTCGGTTGACGAAGTTCTTACGAACCGACCTCAACATGTTTTCGCTTGCACTGACCGGGCAACCAGCTTTAGTATCAGTCCGCCAATACATTAATCAGTTCTAGGGCTTAAATTCCTTACTATTTTAGTAAATATCAAGAAGTTTATACTATTCAATAATTTTAAAAGTTTAATATTCAATTTTTTAGTCATTTTAACAATTATTGAACATAATTGAAGGTAAAGTGACTAGTTTAATGCATGGCATCCAGCCTCTTAACACAGCAAACAGGAGTTAGTCTCTCTCTGTTTTCACTGGAGGTAACATCTTGCTTGAGACTCTCTTCAACTAAACGCTTTTTTTCTGTGTTTCCAAGCAAATTATTGGTCATTTTGAAATATATTTTACATATTGACAATATATAATGCAGTGCAGTGTTGATTTAAAGAAAATAATCTTGAATTAAACCAGAGCTAAAATTTTATGGGTGAAATGGCACCATGGGGTGACTTCTCTCCACCCCAATGTTTTCTTCTTTCCCTCCACCCCCATTCTAAATCCCATCATCATCATTACCACTATCTGAGCCATACAACTTCAAAGTAAGAACTTTTCACCATATTTTTGTTGAAACAGGAAATTTCGTGAGTTGAAACCACTATCTAAAAACCATTGAAACAATGGTTTCAACACCCTGGAACTGATTGAGTTCTTAACGGAGGTCACTGTACTGTTTTTTTTTTCTCTTTATTTTTAAATAGGTGTAGACTGTACAGTCTGTACTTCTACAACAACAACAAACCAGAGCATGATATGTGATTACTGCAGGGGGACGTCGGATATGGAGGATACAAGCCTGACCCTCACAGCGTTTAGGATGTTGCAAAATGCCGTAAAGCATGAAGGCTGTTGCTGGTATTGCCCTGACTGCGTATTCAAAGTGAGTGAGGCGATTGCAAGCCATAGGGGAACGAGTTCCCTAGGAACAAAAATAGATGAAGCTGGAGCCCTGCTGGTTGCCAAACTAGAACAAGTTGGGAAAGAGATCCTTGCTAAGACCGAGGAAGTAGCCGATAGAATGGAGGTGGTTGCTAAGAGGAGTTAAGATGAGGCCTTAGCAGGGCCACAGGAGGTGGCGGAGAGTAATGCAGGATCAGAATAGGTTCTACAGCAGCTACGGACTCTGACGAAGTGTGTCAAAGAAATGACAAGTAGCGGACATACTGTTAGGGGAGAGGAGGAACAATGTAATAGTTTTTGGAGTACCCAAGAGCCAGGAGGAGGGAACTGAGAGTAAGGTAACACACAATAAGATGCAGTTTAAGAATATTTGTACAGAGGTTCTGAAGATGCCATCAACCCCTCAGGATGTGAGGAGGCTGGGACAAAAGCAGGGGGATAAGCCTCGCCCCCTCAGGATCACACTCGTGAGTGAGGAGGAGAAATGGGAGGTCATTCGGCAGGCATAAAACTTAGCAAGGAGCAAGGCATTTCGGGGTGTATTCATTCACCCAGATTGCACGGTAATGCAGAGGGAGGAGTCAAGGTGGAACGGGGACGGGTGTACATGGGTTATATTCAGGGGGAGGGTAGTGGAAGCAAGTGTGCCGACACAGTGCCAGGGGGCAGCAGATAACCCCCCACCTGCTCAACCCCCCACCCGGGAGGTGGCACCAGCTCTGCCTATCAGACAGGAGGAGGCAACCTCCATGTAAACAATGACATTTCTAACCACACCCTGCAAAAGACAGTGTACTTAGTAAATGTTGCAGCTTCTGAGAATGGGGGGAGGTTACTACTAAGAGCAGAGACGTTACCGAGAACAAATTCTGGCTTGAATGTCATGTACATTAATACTGACACGTTCCTTGATAAGAAAGAGTAGTTTGAAACACTACTGAAAGTACACCAACCAGATATTGTAGGAATGCGAGTTCAGTATTGCTGGATATGACTCATTTACAAATCTTTCTCAAGAAACTTGCAAGAGGGGTGTGGTTATCTATGCTAGGCAAGACCTTAGAGCCAGCCAGGCGAGGGTACAGGGAGAGGATGTTTTTGAAGAATCCAAGTGGTGTAAAATTAAACTAAAGGGAGGGGACTTACCTACTGTTGGGTGTATCTACATATCCCCAAACTGTAGCCCACTAAATCAAAGGAACTTAAGAGCCTTAATAGACGACACAGCGATGCTCAACCCTAGCCACCTCCTTATCATGAGGGACTTTAACTATGGCGGAATCGACTGGAGAAACGAGTTCACCCCAAGTGACTTGAATAACCCTGCTACTCTTTTTGTAGAAACTCTGAGATATAATTTTCTGTTCCAACATGTTAAGAGACCCGACACATTACAGATGGGAGCAAACACCCAAGGCACTAGACCTCATAACAAATGAGGAGGGTATGGTGGCCAAACTGGAACACCTTGCCCCAGATGGCACCAGTCACCATATAGTGTTGTCATTCAGATTTAACTGTTACCTAGTTCAAGATAAGGCCAGGCCACTTCACCATTGTTACTGACCAGCGATCAGTTGCATTTATGCTGGACAGTCGTAGGACTAAAGTGAAGAATGACAATATACAAGGGTGGCGGCACGAACTCGCTTGTTTTAGCTATTCCATTTGGTATTGGCCAGGGAGAGACAACACTGCTCCTGACACTTTCACCCGAGCGTTTCATGGAGCCATCTCATCGTCAAACCTCGCTGTCATCCATGAAGGGCTCTGCCACCCAGGTTGTCAAAATGCTTCATTTTGTCGACAAAGAACCTCCCACTTTCTACGGAGGATGTGAAAAAGTCTGTTCAACTTGTCGCAGTATGTGCTGAAATCAAGCCAACATTTCACAGGCCTACTGAAAATACCCTTATCAAAGATACTTAACTAATGGATAGACTGAGCATTGACTTCAGGTCCTCCATCACGCACGAGAAACCTCATATCTCTTCACTGCTGTGGATGAATATTCCAGATTTCCTTGCTATTCCATGTGCTGACATGACATCCTCAACTGTCAACAGATGTCTGGACACCATCTTCGCTTTGTGGTATGGCTAGTATATTCTGATCGAGAAGTGCTATGTCTCGTGAAGTGAAAACTCATCTCGCTAGTCGTGGAGTGGCGTCCAGCAACTACACCTTACCACCCAACAGGAAACAGTCAAATAGAACAGTACAATGGCATAATCTGGAAGTCCATATGTTTAGCTGCCAAATCTCAGATGTTCCGGATACTGAATGGGAGGCTGTCCTACCGAAGCACTTCACCTCATTAGATCATTGCTCTCAACAGCCATCAACGGACTCCACATGAGAGGTTTCATTTCTGAGACGATCTTGTCAGGTACATCCTCGCCAACAGCCAACGACTCCGGTCCTGTCTTCCACGATTAGTCCGCTCAACAAAGGTGACCTCTCGTTGATGAGGTGACTCCTCGAGGCTAACCCAACGTGCGCACACATCAAGTATCCAGATGGACGCACTTCAGTTCTCCGTGATCTTGCTCCATGCCCCAGTGGAACCTCATCCTCAGACATCTCTGCTGATCAACCTCACCTTCAGTGAAGTCAGAAACATTGGATAATGGTGAGAGTTGCTGCAGAGGAGAAACCGACGACATTGCTGAATCCTAGTATCATACAGGAGTTACTTCTTCATCTTCTACTCGGCGCTTAAGAGAACCAGCATACGTGCTATGATGTTTGATTGATTATGCTGGCGGTGAATGTCGATATGGAATAAATTATGTTTGTCTTTACTTACTCTAAATGTTCTCTTTGTTCTAATTGGGTTTTTTTGTTCTGTTGCAATTGTATATGATTTATGAGTTGAATAAATTGATTACTGAAGGTGTTTGATCTCAACGCCATAAACAGTGTTTTATTTACCACAAACTAGTTGCTGAACACGCTAAAATCGTTCACAAGAAAAAGACATGACAAAAGTTCAATCTCAGAAGAATATGAAGAAAAAATATCACCACTTCTAATTACCTAAAAATATTGTCATTGTCTTCGCCGCTTACATGAGTAAATTTAGTTTTATATTGTTTACGTGAGATGACTGCAGGTGTATTAACAATGTTTTATTTATTAATTTTTAATTTTAGTCTTTCACATATTGTCTTAATGTTTTTATTATTTTCTATACCAAGCCACAGTTATTTTCGTGTATATAATGATTATTGTATAAGTGAAATGATTGCAGGTCAACAGTATTAACAATGTTTTTATTTTATATTATTGTCTTTAATAAATTTTATTAGTGTGTTTTATTATTTTTATCCCATGCAGTTCTTTTGTGTATATATTGATGGGAATGAACGCGGTGACGAAACGGGTAAAGCAGTGGTGACGAAACGGGTTGAAAACAGTGGTGACGAAACGGTTGGAAAACAGTGGTGATAAACGGTTGAAAACAGTGGTGACGAAATGGGTTGAAAACAGTGGTGACGAAACGGGTTGAAAACAGTGGTGATGAAACGGTTGAAAAACAGTGGTGATGAACGTTGAAACAGTGGTGATGAAACGGTTGAAAACAGTGGTGATGAAACGGGTGTGACGAAACAAGTACACCTCAAGAGGTTTGTTTATTAGGTTAGGTCTCAAAATGTTCTGGAGATGAGGCCTAGGTTTGGTTATGTTCATCCATTGGCTGTCCGTGAGGTAAATTTCTACTTGACATGAGTCCCGAGGGGTTGACCAATATGTTTTCCAGTGTATTTTGGTGTGTTTGTCTGAATTCCTTCATTTTTGATGGAATTTGTTTGCCTCCCCCAACAATAGTGGGGAGAGCCTGGGAAATCAGACTTTGGGTAACACTTCCATCCCTAGAAGGCCCTACCGACCAACGGTAGGCCTAGCTTAAACTAACCTAAATGTTTCAGTAGTTAAGAACTTGGGGTGCCATGTCCGAAAGTACAATACCCTAAGTAGGGATACGTAAGAATTGGATAGAATGATCGCCTTTCTCGTAAAACTCAGCAATAAACTTAAAACAATCGTAGAAGCACAAACGACAACCAATCCCCACCAAGGCCATTGTGAGACTGGTCAATGAAATTATTCAGGCTGCTTTGTTTGAAAAAAATCAAATGTGATTGGTCGAAAAAAATTTGTGTGAAGATATCGATACCTCATTGGTCACGACTGGATGACGTCAGTCAACAAGCACATGCATGATGCACAGATAACATCTTATAGACAGACAGAAAACTACTTAAAATCAATTAAATTCAATTGTGTTGCTATTATCCATTTCCGCCATGTATATATGGGGGGTTCAAAATTCTCAGAATAGCGAGATCTAAATTTTTCAGTAGTTTATAACTTTTGGGGGCGCTATGTCCGAAAGGAAAAATAATACCCCACAGGTTCCTGCCACGTTTACCTGAGGTTATACTCCTCACTTTCGAGTCAGTTGTCTCCTCCTTACCTCTTCCTCCTTGTAGGTTAGGTTAGGTTGTTCCTTTGGTATGATAATTTTTTTTTTTTTGCATTTCTGGTGTTAAATTCAAATTTAACATCCATTTTTGTGCAAATTAGCGGTTTCTGTTAAAAGTTAAAATGTTATTTAAAAAAACACAAGCTGATTTGCAAAAGAAGTCAAATGTCAAATTTGGGTAAAACGCCGAAATACGTGAAAAAAACCTATTGTTGCACTAAAACTCGAGGACAGCCAATGGACGAATATTATTTTCCTGATTTTTGATGTGTTTTAATCGATTTTTATATTAATTTTCGTCGGAAATCACTCATTATGGCTGGGGGGCTATCTCAAAAAACGAGTGATTTCCGAAAATCAATATCAAACTCGATTAAAACACATCAAAAACTGTCGGAAAACCTAGGCTTCATCACCAGAAGGATTATGGTCCAAAACTTAACCTTTACCTCAATTTCGTATAGTGGCAACAAGTGAAATTTTATCCAACTACCACACTTTCCACGAGAAAAGTATAAAAAGTACATTACCTGTTGTGGTCACACTCCTGGTTGTAGTAAAAGCAGCAGAACACCTCAATGCAGTAGAGGCCACCTGGAGAGCAACACCAGACATTCTCTTCAAGCTATCACTTAGCGATCTAAAACAACAACGAATAATGAACGTCTCAAATGACGTTTAACTTAGTCTATTTTACTGAATATTTATCTATATCTTGTTACATATACAAGGGTTTTTAACTGGCACCCGTCCTCTACCATTCAACGAGTAACCGAGTACATCAGTCAACAATAAGTCTCTCCTAAAAGGCGAAAACTAACTAAATATATTATATCAACTCATATTCTTAATACTCATATGTTTTACTGATAAATTTAGTACTTATACATACAACGTAAAGCATCATATATTTTTTCTGTTTCGAAATGCAGATGAAAATAACATTAACTTGCATTAACCGAAGTATAGGCTACTTGTATATGCAGGAACAGAATTTCGAATTTCTATTTCTGTATTCGAAAGATAGAATTTATATAAACTTTAAATTGTATAGGCAAGAAATAAATGAACTGTATCGAAAACCACAATAAATCTATTGACCATTGGTGTAATGGTCAGCGTGCTCGCCTCGGAAGCAATAATGTTAATCGATTTGCGGGTAGTGTTACGGGGTAATGGTTAACCAGTGAAGTTGGCGAGTTGTCCGGTCTTCCTTGACACTGGGTCATGCAACTCATTAACTTAGGGGGTGGTTGTTGTGTTGGTGGCAGCTTCTACAACTAAAACAAATTCACGCGTGGCAGTGAATAGTGACATTACCCACATGAATCTGACCTCTCTCTATATAGCTGTTAATGAATATGATGTAATTCTTTGTGTATGAACCTCTGTCCTGCGTGGCAGTGAGAAGTGATACCACCCTCAGTGTTAAGACCTGACTGAATTATTCAGAATAGGCAAACTGTACTCCAAGCTTTGTCAATAAATTTGTTAAACTAAACTAAACGTCTAGGTGGCCTTTGGGCCGGCCACCCTCGTTACAAATGGGACAACCATTATTATAGTAACTTTGCTCAGAAGGTTTTCGTATTTCAGTAGGATTGACTCGAAACTTCGAGCGAACTCAGTTCATGAAGCCTTACTGTTGCCTTTTGTTGTATACCCGCACTATTGTTGTACACCAATTATAGTTGTATACCCGTACTACTGTTGTATACACTCCGCACTGTTGTTGCATACCCGCAACTATTGTTACATACACCCGCACCATTGTTGCGACACTGCACTATTGTTGCATACCCGCACCATTGTTGTATACCCACCATTGTTGTATATACTCCACACTATTGTTGGGTATACCCGTACTATTGTTGCATACCCGCACTATTGTTGTACCCGCACCTATTGTTGTATACCGCACTATTGGTTGTGAGCGTTACCTGCACTATTGTTGTATACCTGCACTATTGTTGTAGCACCAGCATTATTATTGCATACCTGCACTATTGTTGGTATACCAGCACTATTGTTGTATACCTACACTATTGTTGTTGTATACCCGTGATTTCGCTGTTGTATACCTACACTATTGTTGTATAATTCATGACTATTGTTGTAGATACCCACACCATTGTTGTAGACACCAAGACTATTGTTGTGACACCAAGACTCATTGCTGGGTATAACCCGCACTATTGCTGTATACCCGCACCATTGTTGTGCACCCGCAATCTATTGTTACATACCCGCACCATTGCTGGCTGCCCGTATTGTTGCATAATTCACAAGACCATTGCTGTATAATTCATTCATTGTTGTATAATTCACACCATTGCTGTATAACCGCACCATTGCTGTGCATAACCGTGACCATTGCTGTATAAATTCGCTCTATTGCTGTATACCCGCACCATTGTTGCTGTGTACCTGCACTATTGTTGTATGACCTGCAATTCATTGTTGTATACCACGACTATCATTGTTGTATACCCACCCGTCAAGTTGCATGTTCCGCACTATTGCATAATTTACACTATTGTTGTATACCTGGCACTATGGCTGTATACCCGCACTATTGTTGTATACCCATGACTATTGCCATAGATAATTCGCACTCATTGTTGCATACCCGTACCATTGTTGTATACCCGCACTATTACAGACACCTGCACCATTGTTGCATACCGCACCATTGTTGTACACCCGACTACGTTGTGCATACCAAGACCATTGTTGTATTACCCGCACCATTGTTGCATACCCACACCATTGCTGCCCCGCACCATTGGTTGCATACCCGCACTATTGTTGTGTGCCCGCACTATTGCCAGAGCACTCCGCGCACTATTGTTGCATACCCACACTATTGTTGCATAACGCAATGCCATTGTTGTGACACCAAAGTATTGTTGGTACCGCACTATTGTTGTATACCAAGACCATTGGTTGTATACCCGCACCTATTGTTGCATACCTACACCATTGTTGTATACCTGCACTATTGTTG